TGAACTCCTTGAATTTGATCTTATATGAGAAGCACTTTATCTGTCCTTCCATTCTAAATGAAAGTTTTCCTGGATAGAGCAATCTTGGTTGTAGGTCTTTGGATTTCATGACTTGGAATACCTCTTTCCAGCCCCTTCTTGCCTGTAAGGTCTCTTTTGAGAAATCAGCTGACAGTCTGATGGGAATTCCTTTGTAGGTGACTGTCCCCTTATCTCTTGCTGCTTCTAGGATTCTCTCCTTCATTTTAATCTTGGCTAATGTAATTATGATGTGCCATGGTGTGTTTCTTCTTGGGTCCAACTTCTTTGGGACTCTCTGAGCTTCCTGGATTTCCTGGAAGTCTATTTCCTTTGCCAGATTGGGGAAATTCTCCTTTATTATTTGTTCAGATAAGTTTTCCACTGGTGGCTGTGCCTTTCCCTCTTCTGGTAACGCTATAATTAGGATGTTGGAGCATTTAAAGATGTCCTGGAGGTTCCTAAGCCTCTCCTCATTTTTTTGAATTCTTGCTTCTTGACTCTTTTCTGTTTGGCCATTATTTGCTTTCTTGTGGTGCACTCCATTGATTTGAGTCCCAGTTTCCTTTTCATCGCTATTGGTGTCCTGTGCAATTCCATTCATTTCAATTAGTTTCGCCTTCACATGTTTGTCTAATTTGTGGCTATAATCAACCAGTTCTGTGAGGATCCTGATGACCAGTGTTTTAAACTGTGCGTCTGAGAGTTTTGCTATTTCTTCATCGCTTAGATTTATAGGCTCTGGGGTTTTGAGATCTTCTTGAGCCATTTTTGGTCTGTTCGCACCCTTTAAGTGTGAGTAGCGGAGCCTTGGACTCCCAGGTCACTGGGTTGTGACGCTGTATGTGGGGGCGTGGTCAGAGCGGTGAAATGGCGGCCCCCTCTGCTGCTTCTCGCCACTGGGTTATGAGCAGAGGCTTAGGTGGTTCACCAGGGCTGGGCCACTCAGAGTCGCTGAGTTATGATGCTGCATGTGGAGGTGGTGTCAGAGCGGGGAAATGGCGGCGCCCTCCCTGCTGCTTGCCGCAGGGACCCGCTGGGCCTTGTCCAATCGCCCACTCCCTCTTGTCTATCCACGTACGAATGTGAGACCACAGTCAACCCGCAGCTGTGCTCCCTCGCTGTTTCCCCGAGGTTGCTCGCTGCGTCGCTCACTAGGTCCAACCCTGCGCCTGCATTCCGCACGCCTGAGTCTGTCTGACTGCGTTTTCCTGTGTAACCCCACTCCTCCAGCTGCTGGTTTCACTCCTCTTACTGGTCAGGCTGAAGAATTCGTTGTTATCGGACTTCCGAAAAGGTCAATTTTCTGTGTTCTGGCTGTGTTTTCTGTTGCTAATATTTAGTTGTCTCTAAAGTTGGTTGTGTGAGAAGGCACCGCGTCTCCACCTATGCCTCCATCTTGGCGGAAGTCTCTGTTCTTTACTTTTTAAATTTATTTATTTATTTATTTTTGGAGAGGGCAAGGACGGGAGAAAGGGAGGGAGAGAAATGTCTGTATGTGGTTGCATCTCATGCACCTTCTGCCAGAGACCCAGCCCGCAACCCAGGCTTGTGCCCTTACTGGGAATCAAACCAGCAACTCTTGGTTTAACAGGCCAGTGCTCAATGCACCGAGTCAGAGCAGCTAGGGCTAGCTATATGTTCTTTAAAAGAGCTCTATTTAAAACACAGGAACTCAGCTCTGGCCATTGTGGCTCAGTGGACTGAGTGCTCGCCTGAGAACCCAAAGGTCACCAGTTCGATTCCCCAGTCAGGGCACATGCCTGGGTTGCAGGCCAGTCCCTGGTGTGGGGTGTATGAGACATAGCCCATTGATGTTTTTCTTGCACATTGATGTTAATCTCCCTCACTTTCTCCCTCCTTTTCCTTCTTCTCTAAAAACAAATACATAAATAAAATCTTTAAAAAGTAAAATATAAGAACTCAGAGAAGTTGAAAGTAAAGGGTAATGAAAGAATCTCAGGAGAATTTTTTGACAGTCCTGCATATATGTGAGAAAGAAAGGTACCTCAATCAACTCCATGGTTTTCTGGGTTCAGGGTCGCTCGGTTTTTGTCCCCTCAGGAATGTCAAAAGTCCATGCCCCCATCACTAAGATGTACCTCCTAGGGCAGACATGTACTTTGTGTTTCTGCCCTTGAGAATTTTCTTATTTTGTTGTGGAGTGAGCCATGCATTTAAAAGGAACTTGCTGCCCTAACTGGTGTTGCTCAGTGGGTTGGCTATTGTACCAGAAATGGAAAGGTCACTGGTTGGTTCTTGGTGAGGACACATGCCTGAGTTGCAGGCCAGGCCACCAGTTGGGCAGCATGCAAGAGGTTACCCATCAGTATTTCTCACACATTGATGTTTCTGTCCCCCTCTTTCTCCCTTCAACTCTATGAGAAAAATAACTAAAATCTTTAAAATGAACTTGCTGTATTTCATCTTGCATTTTTAGGCATTTGTGTGGATGTCTCCCTACCCCATGCCTTCCTTCCTCAGTTGTTCAGTCTGTTATGTGTTATTTGAATCATTAGTCACCCGTATCATTTAAAGAACTCACCCTGTAAGGGGACCACTGAAAACGTAAAATGATTGCCTGTTAGCAGAGAAGTTATAATTTCTTTTTTAAAATACATTTTATTGATTACATTATTACAGTCATCCCAATTTTTCCCCCTTGCACCCCTCCACCTGGTACCCCCCATTTCCTCTGGCAGTTTCTCTACCCCTTAGTTCATAGCCATGGGTCACACATATAAGTTGTTTGGCTACTTCATTTCCTATACTGTCCTAAACATCCCTGTTTTTTCCATACTTACCAACTTGTACTTCTTAATCCCTGCACCTTTTCCCTCATTCTCCCTCTTTCCCCTCCCACCTGATAACTCTCCAAATGATCTCCTTTTTCTGTTCTACTTGTATGCTTAGTTTGTTTTTTAGATTGAATTGTTGATAATTGTGAGTTTATTGCCATTTTAGTGTTCATAGTTTTGATCATCTTCTTAAATAAATCCCTTTTTTTAAAGGTTTTATTTATTTATCTTTAGAGGGGAAGGGAAGGAGAGAGGGAGAGAAATATCAATGTATGGTTGCCTCTTGTCAGTCCCCTGATGGGAACTGGCCTGCAACCCAGGCATGTGCCCTGACTGGGAATCGAACCGTGGTTGCTTGGTTTCTAGGCCCGCGCTCAATCCACTGAGCTACACCAGCCAGGGCAATAAATCCCTTTAGTATTTTATATAACAAGAGCTTGGTGATGATGAACTCCTTGAACTTGACCTTATCTGAGAAGCACTTTATTTGCCCTTCCATTCTAAATGATAGCTTTGCTGGATAGAGCAATCCAGGTTGTAGGCCTTTGCTTTTTGAATACTTTTTGGCAGTTCCTACGAAGATTCTTTTGAGAAATCAGCTGACAGTCTTATGAGCACTCCTTTGTAGGTGACTCTCTCTGCTTTTCTCTTGCTGCTTTGAAGATTCTCTCTTTATCTTTAAACTTTGGCATTTTAATCATGATGTGTCTTGGTGTGGTCCTTTTTGCGTCCATCTTGTTTGGGTCTCTTTATGCTTCCTGGAGTTGTATGTCTATTTTCTTTACCAAATAGAGAGGTTTTCTTTTCATATACATTTTCAATTTGTTTTTTTCATATACATTTTTAATTTCTTGCTCTTTTTCTGGCACCCCTATGATGCAACTGTTGGATCACTTGAAGTTCTTCTAGAGGCTTCTTACACTATCCTCATTTTTTGGATTCTTTTTTCTTCTTGCTGTTCCGTTTAAATGTTTTTTTCTTCTTTATGTTCCAAATCATTGATTTGATTCTGTTTCATTCCCTCCACTGTTGATTCCCTATCAGTTTTTCTTTATTTTACTTCATGTAACCTTCATTTCTGCCTGGGTCTTTTTTATGCCGTTGAAGTATCCAATGAGTTCCTGAGCATCCTCATAACTGGTGTTTTGAACTCTGCATCTGATAGACTGCTTATCTCCATTTTGTTTAGTTCTTTTTCTGGAGTTTTGTTCTGTTCTTTCATTTGGGCCATATTTCCTTCTCTCTTCATCTTGGCAGCCTCCCTGTGTTTGTTTCTATGTATTAGATAGAGCTGCTTTGACTCCCTGTCTTGGGAGCATGGCCTATTGTAGAAACATGCATCCGCAAGTTAGATTGGGTGCAGTCTTAGGTAGTTGCCAGGGTGGGACAACCCGTGGGTCAACACATGTAAACCGTGTTGATGGAGTCTCAGAAATGTTGCCACTGTGTGGCTCTGTGTGAGGAGGGCTCAGAAAAGGGGCAGTGGCCGCTGGCTGGTCTCTGGAGTTTTGTCTGGGAGGAAGCTGTCCCCCGGCACTTGCTCTGGTGCCAGACACTTCAGTTTCTCCCCTTTGCCACTGGTGCCCTTCCAGCTGTTGTCCTGGTGCTAGTGTCCAGGGAGAGTGAATCTGTGTAAGTCCCAATCTGCTGCGGGCCCTTTAAGAGAAGATGCTTGAGAATCCTGCAGTTTCTTCTGCTACCTCAACCCTCACGAGTTTCTACAGCCTGAAGTTATGGGGACTTACCTTTCTGGTACTGGAAACTTGGGCCGGGTGGTCTGGTGTGGGTGTGGGATCCTTTGATCCCAAAGTATCCTATCTGATTTTTATCTACCATGTATGGGTGTGGGACTGCCTATTCCACATCTCTGCATCTGCCCCTCCTACCTGTTTGGATGAATGTGATTTCTTTAATTCCTTGTTTGTCAGACTGTCATACAGCCCAACTTTCTGATCATTCTGTTTGACAGTTGTTTTGTAGTTTAGTTGTAATTTTTGCTGTGGTTATGTTAGGAGGTGAGTCATGTTTACCTATGCCTCCTTCTTGACTGGAAGTCGATCATTTCTTATATTCTTATCCATTTTTCACTTTTTTACAAAAGCACATGTTTTATAACTTTTTGAACTTAAAGAAATTGTCCTTAAGATTTTCCAAGTAATAGTCCTTCTTTTTCATTTGTTTCAGGTGGTGCGGTTGTGTCAGAACCCAAAGCTGGCGCTAAAGAATAGCCCACCTTATATCTTAGACCTGCTGCCAGATACCTACCAGCATCTTCGTACTATCTTGTCAAGATACGAGGGGAAGATGGAGACACTTGGAGAAAATGAGTATTTTAGGGTGTTCATGGAGAATTTGATGAAGAAAACTAAGCAGACCATAAGCCTCTTCAAAGAGGGGAAAGAAAGAATGTATGAGGAAAATTCTCAGCCTAGGTAATGGAGAATACTACACAAATATTTATTCAGGTCTGTGACTGCTTGAATGGGTAACACATAGAAGTAGTTAAGTTGGTTTTAATTTTATGTCAACAATAATGCAAAGTTGACTTTTGATTTAAAGGTATGCCATATATAAAAGGTTGCCTTGGAGGACATTGAACTTCATTAGGTTTGTTTACCTATAGCAAGTCAGTGACTTAGAGTCAGGAATATGAGTTGGAGGTGGTAGGTCCTTTACAGACCCTGAAGATCATGAAAATTTGTGGATAGGTGAGAGTTTGAATAAAAGAGGTTGGCGGTAAGCTGTGGTTAGTAAATAAGAAGAGGTTAGATTTTGCTAGAGCTGTAGCATATTAGGCAAATTGTAAGTATAGGATAATAGGAAGACAAATTACCATAAGCCATTAGTTTAGATAACTTTTTAATAAAGCATAGTGAAATGACATTTCTTTTATAAGTAAACTGACTTTTCAAATAGAATAGATATTGCCAAATGCAGGTAATTCAATTAATGTTTGGGGGATCACTATATATTCTTTTGTACTTTTTTAATGCTAACAACTCTATTGGTTATCCTGTTATTAGCTTGGTTGTGACATAGTAGGAGAGAAATAGGTTGATTGTGTATATAGGTATCGTTGTATTTGATTTTATCCAGTTGGAAATAAATATTAACTCATCTAAAGTAAGTAAAATATACAGTAAATATTACTATAACTTTTTAGGGAACAAATTACTCTTGAGGAGTGACTTGAATTAGGGCAACTCTAATTTCTGAGGGTATTAATTTGGCATGCATTACTTGAACAGTAACTTCATAAATGGTATCCTTGTAGTCCACCACTCCTTTCACTGTGTTTTAGATTCTGGGAACCCTTGTCTCTCACTTAACATTTTATTCAGATCTTTATTCATATTACCTTTTCTACCACAAGTTATTCAGGTTTGGTCCAGGCTATCAGTCTTTTTTTTTTTTAAGATTTTATTTATTTATTGTCAGAGAGAGGAGAGAGAGGGAGAAAGAGAGGGAGAAAAACATCAGTGCATGGTTGCCTCTCATGTGCCCCCTACTGGGGACTGGACCCACAACCCAGGCATGTGCCCTGACTGGGAATGAAACCAGTGACCCTTTGGTTCACAGGTCAGTGCTTAGTCCACTGAGCCTCACCAGCCAGGGCAGTCTTTTTCTTCTTAAAAAGATTTCTGGTGAATAAATTTAATGTGTAAGAACCTTTGTAACTTTTAGTTTATATGAAAATGAACTTCATTCCTTTTAACTATTTCAATTTCTTGACTTTTGTTCAAACTTTGACTATATGGGACTTAGCTAACTAGTCATTTGTATTATTGAGTTAAAAAAAAATAATTTTACTTTATTAGGTGCCAGAACTTTGAAAGTTTATTTACCATCTATAATGAACTTGGTTCTGTTTAAATCCCAGGAGGTGAAAAAAGAGTTAAGCAATCAATTATGATGAAATGTGATAAATGCTTTAATAGAGATATGTACAAAATGCTGTGAGAACAGTTTTTCTTGGTGGCATTAGGGAAAATCACACAGGGAGAGAGTTATCTGAACTAGATTTTGAAAGGTAGGACTTTTATAGGGAGAATAGTGAAGAAAAGGCCTTTAACAAAGTGGCATGAAAAGCAGGCTTCGTATGTCTAGGGAACATGAGCAGTCTGGTTTGGCTAGAATGGGGGGAGAGAGATAAGCCAGAAATACAGATTGGAGTGAGATTGTAAAGAGTTGTTCTTTGACCTCTAGACCTTCTCCTATAGATAACAGGCTGCCTTGAATAGTGTTTTCTAAAGAGCATTTTTATAAGGAAATAAAAATTATAGGCCTTCTAGTCTTGGAACATACTGAACATTGTTTAACATTTTTTGTGTGACTGATAGTTCATCACTTGGAGGAAGTATAGTGTACTGGTTAAGATGATGGACTTGGAAGCCTCTTGTCTGTGTTTGAATCCTAACTTTTCCACTTATTTAGCTATGTGATCCCTCATTTTCTTCATCTCTGAAATGAAATAATAGTAGTACTTTCCTTGTAAGATTGTTGGGAATTATTAAATGAATAACTAAGTGTTTAGTACTTAGAACTAAGTAATAAATACATTGAAAGTGACAAATGGGTTAGCTTTTATTATCTTAATCATTGTCATTATTTTCATTACTATAAACAAATTATTGTATCTGGCTCTGTGTCAGTGACACTGCCAGGAACTATTGAAGGCCGAGTTACTCTTACTAAATGGCTCTATACTATGCTTGTAAGTTCTTTTGCCTTTCTTAAACTCTTACTGTCAGTATGTTTGTCTATATCGGTTTTATTTCCCCTAATATGAAGGTTTTAACCCACAATGGGTTTTGAATACATACAATCAGATTCATACAAATTATATGTAAAGTGAGAATAAGTAAATTTCAGATGAGAATCAGATTTTTTTTAATAAAGGAAAATATATGGCTTTACTGTGTGGTCTTTGTGATCTGTATTTTCATTGCTCTTACAGGTTATTTTTCCTGTTCAGTTTTTGAAGTTGAGATATAGTTCACATACCATAAAATTTATCCTTTTAAAGTATACAGTGCATTAGCTTTTAGTGTGTTGACAAAGTAGTGCAACCATCAGCACTGTGTAATTCCAGAATATTTTCATCATTCCAAAAAAGAAACCCTGTGCTCATTAGCAGTCAGTCCCCATTTCCTACTCCTGTCCCCTGACAAGCACTTGGTAGTCACTAATATATGCTTTCTGTTTCTTTTGATTTCCCTGTTCTAAAAATTTCATGTAAGTAGAGTCATGTAACAGTAGCTTTTTTGGTCTGGCTTATTTCACTTAGCATGTTTTCAAAATTTATCCATGTTAGAAATAGCATGAATTGTACTTCATTTCTTTTTATCGCTAAATAGTATTTCATTGTATGTGTATAGACCACATTTTGAATATGGTTATTTGAGTATTCTGGATAAGTATACTTTTGAGTATTATGAATAATACTTCTGTGAACATTTGTGTACAGGTTTTGTGTGGCTGTATGTTTTCCATTCTCCTAGGTACATACCTAAGAGTGGAATTGCTGAATCATGGTAATTTTATGTTTACCTTTTTGAGGAACCATACATTGTTTTCCTCAGCAGCTACAAGGAATGTATGGGGGTTTAGTTTCTCACAAACACTGTTATTGTTTATTTTTTCTTTATTATAGCCACCCTGCTAGGTATGAAGTGGGTATCTCATTGTGGTTTTGATTTTCATTTTCCTAATGTGAGCATCTTTTCATGTGTTTAATTGGCCATTAAATATCTTCTTTGAAGAAATGTCTATTCAAATCCTTGTTAATTTTTGAATTAGGTTATTTGTCTTTTTATTGTTGAGCTGTAAATGTGCTTTACATATATGGGATACTAGACTCTTATAAGATAAATGATTTAAAAAACTTTACTACCATTCCGTGGGTCTTCTTTTCACTTTCTTGATATTATCATTTGAAGCACAAAATGTTTGAATTTTAATTACGCCCAATATTTTTTCTTTGGTTATTTGTGCTTTTGATGTCATAGCTAAGAAACATTGCCCAAACCAAGGTCAGGAAGATTAAACCACGATAATTTTCAAGTTTGTTTTTTTTTAAATACAGTATGCAGTATACAGTGATGGTCTAACTTCTTTTGTATGCAGATATACAGTTATTGGTCTCTGTGTCTATCCTTATGCCAGTACCATACCATCTTGATTACTGTGTCTTTGTAATAAAGCTTTGAAATCAAGAAATATTAACACCTCCAACTTTATTCTTTTTCAAGATTGTTTTGGCTATTTGAGGTTCTTTGAGATTTTTCATGAATCTTAGGATCAGCTTGTCAACTTCAGGAAAAAAGGGCAGCTAAAATTTTAATAGGAACTGTGTTGGACCTGTAGATCAATTTGGAGAGTATTGCTACCTTAACAACACTGTCTTTCAATCTAGGAACATGGATGTCTTTCCCTTTATTTAGGTCTTCTTTAACTTCTTTTCAGCAATATTTTGTAATTTTCAGTATACAAGTGTTTTGCCTCCTTGGTTAAATTTATTCCTAATTATGTTATTTCTTCTGATGGTATTATAAATGGAATTGTTTTCTTAATTTCATTTTTGGATAGTTTGTTGCTGGTGTGTAGAATACAATTGATTTTTATATATTGATCTTGTATCCTCTGGCTTTGCAGAACTGATGTTTTTGGTTCTAGTAGTTTTGTAGGGGATTCCTTAGGATTTTCTGAAACAGGATCATGTCATGTGCAAATAGAAATAGTTTTACTTCTTTCTTTTCTTTGTGGATACATGTATTTCCTTCTCCTGCCTAAGTGCTTTGGCTAGAATCTCTTATGTTGAATAGAACTTGTGCTGAATAGCAGTGGTGAGAGCAGATATTCTTGTCTTGTTCCTGGTATTAGAGGAAAGCTTTCATGAGTGTGGTGTTAGCTGTGAAATCTGTATAGATATCCTTCACCAGGTTGAGAAAGTTTTCTTCTGTTTCTTGCTTGTTCAGTGTTTTTTGTTTTTATAATGAAAGGATGTTACAGGACTTGTATGTTTTGTTTTTGGTTTTCTTCTTGGGAGAGAGAAATTTGTGAATGTGTAAAATTCTAGAAACATAAATATCTTAAGTTGAAACAAGGGAAGACGTAAGCTCTGGGAATAACTGAAACCGTGGTTGAAAATGCTGCCAAGACTATCTGTATTCTCTCAGTGTAGATTAATGTCAAAGTCACAGGAAAATCTGGCCTCTGCTATACTCAACGTTTACATCTTATGGATTTCCAGCATAGCAGAATGCCTGATGCTTACCTGACTCTTAGTTCCAGTTTTGACTTTGGCCTTGGTACAGATCAAGTAATTTTCCCTGGAACAGTCAACTTTGGAAAGAAATGCTAAATGATATAATTAGTCTACTCTAGGCCAGTTCTCAACTCTTGAAGAATCTGTTATTTGGTTACCTACCTG